ATACAAATGAAATCAGATATATAGAAAGACATACTGATATAAAAGGCTGATTAGGTAGATATTAAAAGGACTGTGTTAGCTAGGCATATAGATAGATAGATAGATAGATAATGATAGATAGAAAGATATATAGAAAGACAGATATAAAATGAAATCAGATATATAGAAAGACATACTGATATAAAAGGGCTGTGTTAGGTAGATATTAAAATAGGACTGTGATAAAAAGGGCTAGGCATATAGATAGATAGATGAATAGATAGACAGATAGATAGATAGAAAGATAGACAGATACTCAAATGAAATCAGATATATAGAAAGACATACTGATATAAAAAGGGCTGTGTTAGGTAGATATTAAAAGGACTGTGTTAGCTAGGCATATAGATAGATAGATAGATAGATAGACAGATAGATAGATAGAAAGATAGACAGATACTCAAATGAAATCAGATATATAGAAAGACATACTGATATAAAAAGGGCTGTGTTAGGTAGATATTAAAAGGACTGTGTTAGCTAGGCATATAGATAGATAGATAGATAGATAGATAGACAGATAGATAGATAGAAAGATAGACAGATACTCAAATGAAATCAGATATATAGAAAGACATACTGATATAAAAAGGGCTGTGTTAGGTAGATATTAAAAGGACTGTGTTAGCTAGGCATATAGATAGATAGATAGATAGATAGACAGATAGACAGATACTCAAATGAAATCAGATATATAGAAATAGATATAGACTGATATAAAAGGGGATATGGACTGTGTTAGCTAGGCATATAGATAGATAGATAGATAGATAGATAGATAGATAGATAGAAAGATAGACAGATACTCAAATGAAATCAGATATATAGAAAGACATACTGATATAAAAAGGAGGCTGTGTTAGGTAGATATTAAAAGGACTGTGTTAGCTAGGCATAGATAGATAGATAGATAGATAGATAGATAGATAGATAGATAGAAAGATAGACAGATACTCAAATGAAATCAGATATATAGAAAGACATACTGATATAAAAAAGGGCTGTGTTAGGTAGATATTAAAAGGACTGTGTTAGCTAGGCATAGATAGATAGATAGATAGATAGATAGATAGATAGATAGACAGATAGAAATAGATATATAGAAAGACATACTGATAAAAAAAGGGCTGAAATAGATATATATAGAAATAGATAGATAGACAGATAGATATAAAAGATAGACAGATACTCAAATGAAATCAGATATAGAAAGATACTGATATAAAAGGGCTGTGTTAGGTAGATATTAAAAGGACTGTGTTGATAGATAGATAGATAGATAGATAGATAGACAGATAGATAGAAAAAGATAGACAGATACTCAAATGAAATCAGATATATAGAAAGACATACTGATATAAAAAGGGCTGTGTTAGGTAGATATTAAAAGGACTGTGTTAGCTAGGCATAGATAGATAGATAGATAGATAGACAGATAGATAGATAGAAAGATAGACAGATACTCAAATGAAAGATCAGATATATAAGATATATAAAAAGAAAGACATACTGATATAAAAAGGGCTGTGTTAGGTAGATATTAAAAGGACTGTGTTAGCTAAATGGCATATAGATAGATTAAAAGGAGATAGATATGGATAGATAGATAGATAGATAGAAAAAGATAGACAGATACTCAAATGAAATCAGATATATAGAAAGACATACTGATATAAAAAGGGCTGTGTTAGGTAGATATTAAAAGGACTGTGTTAGCTAGGCATATAGATAGATAGATAGATAGACAGATAGATAGATAGATAGAAAGATAGACAGATACTCAAATGAAATCAGATATATAGAAAGACATACTGATATAAAAAGGGCTGTGTTTGGTAGATATTAAAAGGACTGTGTTAGCTAGGCATATAGATAGATAGATAGATAGATAGACAGATAGATAGATAGAAAGATAGACAGATACTCAAATGAAATCAGATATATAGAAAGACATACTGATATAAAAAGGGCTGTGTTAGGTAGATATTAAAAGGACTGTGTTAGCTAGGCATATAGATAGATAGATAGATAGATAGACAGATACTCAAATGAAATCAGATATATAGAAAGACATACTGATATAAAAAGGGCTGTGTTAGGTAGATATTAAAAGGACTGTGTTAGCTAGGCATATAGATAGATAGATAGATAGACAGATAGATAGATAGAAAGATAGACAGATACTCAAATGAAATCAGATATATAGAAAGACATACTGATATAAAAAGGGCTGTGTTAGGTAGATATTAAAAGGACTGTGTTAGCTAGGCATATGGATAGATAGATAGATAGATAGATAGATAGATAGAGAAGATAGAAATGAAATCAGAATATAGAAAGACAGATACTCAAATGAAATCAGATATATATAAAGACTGTGTTAGCTATACTGATATAAAAATAGGGCAGATGTTTGGTAGATATTAAAAATCAGATATATGAAAGTTAGCTAGGGCATATTAGATAGATAGATAGATAGATAGATAGATAGATAGATAGATAGATAGAAAGATAGACAGATACTCAAATGAAATCAGATATATATAAAAGACATACTGATATAAAAAAGGGCTGTGTTAGGTAGATATTAAAAGGACTGTGTTAGCTAGGCATGAGATAGATAGATAGATATGATAGATAGATAGATAGATAGATATACTCAAATGAAATAGATAGATAGAAAGACAGACTGATACTGTGTTTGGTAAATGAAAAGGACTGTGTTAGCAGATATATAGAAGATAGATAGACTGATAGAAAGATAGATAGATAGAAAGACACTGTGTTTGATAGATATTAAAGACATACTGATATAAAAGAGATAGGTTAGATAGATATTAAAGACTGATATAAAATAGATAGATATTAATAGATAGAGATAGATAGAAAGATAGACAGATAGACAGATAAATGAAATCAGATATATAGAAAGACATACTGATATAAAAAAGGGCTGTGTTAGGTAGATATTAAAAGGACTGTGTTAGCTAGGCATATAGATAGATAGATAGATAGATGAGATATAGATAGATAGAAAGATAGACAGATACTCAAATGAAATCAGATATATAGAAAGACATACTGATATAAAAAGGGCTGTGTTAGGTAGATATTAAAAGGACTGTGTTAGCTAGGCATATAGATAGATAGATAGACAGATAGATAGATAGAAAGATAGACAGATACTCAAATGAAATCAGATATATAGAAAGACATACTGATATAAAAAGGGCTGTGTTAGGTAGATATTAAAAGGACTGTGTTAGCTAGGCATATAGATAGATAGATAGATAGATAGATAGATAGATAGACAGATACTCAAATGAAATCAGATATATAGAAAGACATACTGATATAAAAAGGGCTGTGTTTGGTAGATATTAAAAGGACTGTGTTAGCTAGGCATATAGATAGATAGATAGATAGATAGACAGATAGATAGATAGAAAGATAGACAGATACTCAAATGAAATCAGATATATAGAAAGACATACTGATATAAAAGGGCTGTGTTAGGTAGATATTAAAAGGACTGTGTTAGCTAGGCATATAGATATAGATAGATAGATATAGATAGATAGATAGATAGATAGAAAGATAGACAGATACTCAAATGAAATCAGATATATAGAAAGACATACTGATATAAAAAAAGCTGTGTTAGGTAGATATTAAAAGGACTGTGTTAGATATAGGCATATAGATAGATAGATAGATAGATAGATAGATAGACAGATAGATAGATAGAAAGATAGACAGATACTCAAATGAAATCAGATATATAGAAAGACATACTGATATAAAAAAGGCTGTGTTAGGTAGATATTAAAAGGACTGTGTTAGCTAGGCATATAGATAGATAGATAGATAGATAGATAGATAGAAAGATAGACAGATACTCAAATGAAATCAAATATAAGAAGATATATATAAAAAGACATGTGTTGATATAAATTAAAAGGACTGTGTTAGGTAGATATTAAATAGGACTGATAGATAGATAGAAAGATAGATACTCAAATGAAATAGATATATAGATACTGATATAAAAGGGCTGATAGATATTAAAAGACAGATACTCAGATAGAAATAGACAGATATATAAATCAGAAAGAAAGACATACTGATATAAAAAAAAAAGGGATATGTGTTAGATAGATATTAAAAGATAGACAGACTGTGTTAGCTAGGCATATATAAAAAGGACTGTGATAGATAGATAGATAGATAGATAGACAGATAGATAGATAGAAAGATAGACAGATACTCAAATGAAATCAGATATATAGAAAGACATACTGATAAAAAGGGCTGATAAAAATTAAAAGGACTGTGTTAGGTAGATATTAAAAGGACTGTGTTAGCTAGGCATATAGATAGATCAGATAGATAGATAGATAGATAGATAGATAAAAAGATAGACAGATAGATAAATGAAATCAGATATATAGAAAGAAATACTGATATAAAAAGGGCTGTGTTTGGTAGATATTAAAAGGACTGTGTTAGCTATTAAAAGGACTGTGATATAGATAGATAGATAGATGAATAGATAGATAAAAAAGATAGACAGATACTCAAATGAAATCAGATATATAGAAAGACATACTGATATAAAAAGGGCTGTGTTTGGTAGATATTAAAAGGACTGTGTTAGCTAGGCATATAGATAGATAGATAGATAGATAGATAGATAGATAGAAAGATAGACAGATACTCAAATGAAATCAGATATATAGAAAGACATAAAGGGCTGATATAAAAAGGACTGTGTTAGGTAGATATTAAAAAGGACTGTGAAATAGATATATAGGCATATAGATATAAAAAAGATAGATAGATAGATAGATAGATAGATAGATAGAAAATAGACAGATAGACTCAAATGAAATCAGATATATAGAAAGACATACTGATATAAAAAGGGCTGTGTTAGGTAGATATTAAAAGGACTGTGTTAGCTAGGCATATAGATAGATAGATAGATAGATAGACAGATAGATAGATAGAAAGATAGACAGATACTCAAATGAAATCAGATATATAGAAAGACATACTGATATAAAAAGGGCTGTGTTAGGTAGATATTAAAAGGACTGTGTTAGCTAGGCATATAGATAGATAGATAGATAGATGATAGATAGATAGATAGATAAAAGATAGACAGATGATAAATCAGATATATAATCATACTGATATAAAAGGGCTGTGTTAGGTGATATATAAAAGGACTGTGTTAGCTAGGCATATAGATAGATAAGATAGATAGAATATAGATAGATAGATAGATAGATAGATGAAAGATAGACAAATGAAATCAAATGAAATCAGATATATAAAAGAAAGACATACTGATATTAAAAGGACTGTGTTAGATATAGATAGATAGATAGATAGACAGACTGATAGAAAGATAGACAGATACTCAAATGAAATCAGACTAGAAAGACATACTGATATAAAAAGGGCTGTGTTTGGTAGATAGATAGATAGATAGATAGATAGATAGATAGACAGATAGATAGATAGAAAGATGAATGATAATCAAATGAAATATATAGAAAACATACTGATATAAAAGGGCTGTGTTAGGTAGATATTAAAAGGACTGAAGATAGATATAGATAGATAGATAGATAGATAGACAGATAGATAGATAGAAAGATAGACAGATACTCAAATGAAATCAGATATATAGAAAGACATACTGATATAAAAAGGCTGTGTTAGGTAGATATTAAAAGGACTGTGATAGATAGATAGATAGATAGATAGATAGAAAGATAGACAGATACTCAAATGAAATCAGATATATAGAAAGACATACTGATATAAAAAGGGCTGTGTTAGGTAGAGATAGATATTAAAAGGACTGTGTTAGCTAGGCATATAGATAGATAGATAGATAGATAGATAGATAGAGATAGAAAGATAGACAGATACTCAAATGAAATCAGATATATAGAAAGACATACTGATATAAAAAGGGCTGTGTTTGGTAGATATTAAAAGGACTGTGTTAGCTAGGATAGATAGATAGAGATAGATAGATAGATAAGATAGATAGATAAAAGATAGAAAGATACTCAAATGAAAAGGACTGTGTTAGATATATAATAGAAAGACATACTGATATAAAAAGATAGACAGATAGATAGATAGATAGATAGATAGATAGATAGAAAGGACTGTGAAATAGATATATAGAAAGACATATAGATAGATAGATAGAATAGACAGGCATATAGATAGATAGATAGATAGATAAGAATAGATAGAAAGATAGACAGATACTCAAATGAAATCAGATATATAAGAAAGACATACTGATATAAAAAGGGCTGTGTTTGGTAGATATTAAAAGGACTGTGTTAGCTAGGCAGATAGATAGATAGATAGATAGACAGATAGATAGAAAAAGATAGACAGATACAAATGAAATCAGATATATAGAAAGACATACTGATATAAAAAGATAGTGTTAGGTAGATATTAAAGACAGACTAGGCATATAGATAGATAGATAGATAGACAGATAGATAGATAGAAAGATAGACAGATACTCAAATGAAATCAGATATATAGAAAGACATACTGATATAAAAAGGGCTGTGTTTGGTAGATATTAAAAGGACTGTGTTAGCTAGGCATATAGATAGATAGATAGATAGACAGATAGATAGATAGAAAGATAGACAGATACTCAAATGAAATCAGATATATAGAAAGACATACTGATATAAAAAGGGCTGTGTTAGGTAGATATTAAAAGGACTGTGTTAGTTAGGCAGATAGATAGATAGATAGATAGACAGATAGATAGATAGAAAGATAGACAGATACTCAAATGAAATCAGATATATAGAAAGACATACTGATATAAAAAGGGCTGTGTTTGGTAGATATTAAACAGAGACTGATTAGATAAGATATAGATAGATAGAAAGATAGATAGATAGATAGATAAGAATAGATAGATAAATGATATCAGATATATAGAAAGACATACTGATATAAAAAGATAGACAGAGACAGGTAGATATTAAAAGGACTGTTAAATAGTTAGATAGACAGATAGATAGATAGATAGATAGATAGACTGATAGATATATAGAAAGATAGACAGATACAGAAAGGGCTGTGTTTGAAATCAGATATATAGAAAGACATACTGATATAAAAAGGACAGATACTCAAATGAAATCAGATTACTGATATAAAAAGGGCTGTAGATATTAAAAGGACTGTGTTAGCTAGGCATATAGATAGATAGATAGATAGACAGATAGATAGATAGAAAGATAGACAGATACTCAAATGAAATCAGATATATAGAAAGACATACTGATATAAAAATAGACTGTGTTAGGTAGATATTAAAAGGACTGTGTTAGCTAGGCATATAGATAGATAGATAGATAGATAGACAGACAGATAGATAGATAGATAGAATAGACTGAAATAAAAAATGAAAGACAGATATAGAGGTAGATATTAAGACATAGACTGATATAAAAAGATAGACAGTGACAGATAGATAAGAAAAGGACTGAAATCAGATATATAGAAAGATAGATAGAGACAGATATAGATAGATAGATAGATAGATAGATAGATAGACAGATAGATAATAGATGAAATATAGAAAGATAGAAATGAAAGACAGAAAAAATAAGAATAAAGGACTGTGATAGGCAGATAGATAGATAGATAGATAGATAGATAGATAGAAAAAGATGACAGATAGAATGAAATCAGATATATAGAAAGACATACTGATATAAAAAAGGGCTGTGTTAGATAGATATTAAAAGGACTGTGATAGAAGGCATAGATAGATAGATAGATGAATAGATAATAGACTGAAATAGAAGATATAGATAGACAGATACTGATATGAAAGACTGAGATAGACAGAAAGACAGATAGATATAAAAAGACTGAAATAGAAAGATAGAGATATTAATAGGACTAAGAATAGACATATAGATAGATAGATAGATGAGATAGAGATAGATAAGATAGATAGATAGAAAAAGATAGACAGATACAGAAATAGATATATAGAAAGACATACTGATATAAAAAGGGTGTTAGGTAGATATTAAAGACTGTGTTAGAGATATAGATAGATAGATAGAATAGACAGATAGAAAGATAGAAAGATAGACAGATACAAATGAAATAGATAAGAAAAGACATACTGATATAAAATAGACAGAGACAGATAGATAAAGATATTAAAAGACTGTGTTAGATAGGCATATAGATAGATAGATAGATAGACAGATAGATAGATAGAAAGATAAGACAGATACTCAAATGAAATAGATATATAGAAAGACATACTGATAAGAAAGGGCTGTGTTAGGTAGATATTAAAAGACTGTGTTAGCTAGGCATATAGATAGATAGATAGATAGATAGATAAGAATAGATAGAAAGATAGACAGATAGACAGAAATCAGATATATAAAAACATACTGATATAAAAAGGCTGTGTTTGGTAGATAGAAAAGGACTGAAGCTAGAGATAGATAGATAGATAGACAGACAGACAGATAGAAAGAAAGAGACAGATACTAAAATGAAAGAGATATATAGAAAGACATACTGATATAAAAGGGCTGTGTTATAGAAATTAAAAGACTGAGACTAGGCAGATAATAATAGACTGATAGATAGACAGATAGATAGATAGAAAGATAGACAAGAATAGAAATGAAATCAGATATATAGAAAGACATACTGAGATAAAAAGGACTGTGTTTGGTAGATATTAAAAGACTGAGACAGATAGATATATAGATAGAAAAGATAGAGATAGATAGATAGACAGATAGATAGATAGAAAGATAGACAGAGACAGAAATAAGAAATGAAATAGATATAGAAAGACATACTGATATAAAAAGGGCTGTGTTAGAAAGATAGATATTAAAAGAATAGACTGTGTTAGAAAGATAGACAGATAGATAGATAGATAGAATAGACATAGAAAATAGATATATAGAAAGATACTGACAGATAGATAGAATAGACTGAAATAAAAATAGACAGAGATAGATAGAAAGAATAGACCGAGATAGAAAGATAGACAGAGAAAGACATAAGATATAAAAAGACTGTGTTAGGTAGAAAAAAAGACTGAGACAGATAGATAAGAATAGATAGAAATAGATAGATAGACAGATAGACAGATAGATAAGAATATGAAAAATAGACAGAGACAGATGAAATCAATAGACTGATAGATAGAAGAAGACATAGACAGAGACAGAAAAGAAGGGCTGTGTTTGGTAGATATTAAAAAAGGACTGTGTTGGAAAGATATAGACAGAGACAGATAGATAAGAATAAGACTCAAAATGAAATCAGAATATAGAAAGACAGAGACAGAAAGGGCTAGATATTAAAAGAATAGACTGATAGATAGATAGATAGATAGATAGAAAGATAGACAGATACTCAAATGAAATCAGATATATAGAAAGACATACTGATATAAAAATAGACTGTGATAGAAAGATATTAAAAGGACTGACAGATAGATAAGAATAGACTGAAATAGATAGATAGACAGAGACAGATAGATAAGAATAGACTGAGATACTAAGATGAAATCAGATATATAGAAAGAATACTGAGATAAAAAGATAGACAGAGACAGATAGATAAGAAAGGACTGTGTTAGAAAGATAGACAGATACAGATAGATAAGAATAGATAGATAGATAGAAAGATAGACAGAGAAATGAAATCAGATATATAGAAAGACATACTGATATAAAAAGGGCTGTGTTAGGTAGACAGAGACAGATAGATAAAGGACTGAAGATAGAAAGATAGATAGATAGATAAGAATAGACTGAGATAGAAAAGATAGAAAGATAGACAGATAGATAAAATAGAAATCAGATATATAAAGATAGACAGAGACAGATAGAAAAATACTGACTTAATATAGAAAGACTAGACAGATAGATAGATACAGAGATAGATAGATAGATAGAAATAGATAGATAGAAAGATAGACAGAGACAGATAGATAAGAAATCAGACTGAAATAGAAAGATAGACAGAGACAGATAGATAAGAATAGACAAAAAAAGGACTAGAAAGATAGACAGAGATAGATAGATAAGAATAGACTGAGATAGAAAGATAGACAGAGACAGATACTAAAATGAAATCAGAATATAGAAAGATAGATAGAAAAAGAGGTAGATATTAAAAGGACAGAGACAGATAGATAAGAATAGACTGAGAATAGATAGAAAGATAGACAGATAAAATGAAATCAGAGATAGAAAGACATACTGATATAAAAAGGGCTGAAATAGAAAGATAGACAAAGACAGATAGATAAGAATAGACTGAAGATAGAAAGATAGACAGAGACAGATAGAAAAGAATAGACTTAAATAAAAAGATAGAAAGAGACAGATAGAAAAGAATAAAAGGACTGTGTTAAATAGAAAGATAGATAGAGACAGATAGATAGATAGACAGATAGATAGAAAGATAGACAGATACTCAAATGAAATCAGATATATAGAAAGACATACTGATATAAAAAGGGCTGTGTTTGGTAGATATTAAAAGGACTGATAAGAATAGACTTAAATAGATAGATAGATAGATAGAGAATAGACTGAGATAGAAAGATAGACAGAGACAGATAGATAAGAATAGACTGAAATAGAAAGATAGACAGAGACAGATAGATAGATAGATAATGGAAATAGACTGAAATAGATAAGAATAGACTGGGGCTGTGTTTTGGTAGATAGACAGATAGACAGATAGATAAGAATAGACTAGAAGATAGAAAGATAGACAGAGACAGATAGATAAGAATAGACTGAAATAAAAAGGGCTGTGTTTGGTAGATATTAAAAGAAATAGATAGAGACAGATAGATAAGAATAGACTGAGATAGAAAGATAGACAGAGACAGATAGATAAGAATAGACTTACTGATATAAAAAAGGGCTGTGTTTGGTAGATAGACAGAGACAGATAGATAAGAATAGACAGACAGAAAGATAGACAGAGACAAATGAAATAGATAAGAATAGACTGAAATAGAAAGATAGACAGATATTAAAAGAATAGATAAGAAAGATAGATAGATAGATAGATAGACAGATAGATAGATAGAAAGATAGACAGATACTAAAATGAAATCAGATATAGAAGATAGATAAGAACTGTGTTAGCTAGAAATAGATAAGATAGACAGAGATAGATAGATAGACAGATAGACTTAGATATAGAAATAGATAGACATAGACAGATAGATAAGAATAGACTGAAATAGAAAGATAGACAGAGACAGATAGATAAGAATAGACTTAGATAGAAAGATAGACAGAGACAGATAGATAAGAATAGACTGAAATAGAAAGATAGACAGAGACAGATAGATAAGAATAGACTGAAATAGAAAGATAGACAGAGACAGATAGATAAGAATAGACTGAAATAGAAAGATAGACAGAGACAGATAGATAAGAATAGACTTAGATAGAAAGATAGACAGAGACAGATAGATAAGAATAGACTGAAATAGAAAAAATAGACAGAGACAGATAGAATAAGAATAGACTTAGATAGAAAGATAGACAGAGACAGATAGATAAAATAGACTGAAATAGAAAGATAGACAGAGACAGATAGATAAGAAAGAGACTGTGTTAGCTAGGAAAGATAGACAGAGACAGATAGATAAGAAGATAGACAGAGATAGACAGAGACAGATAGATAAGAATAGACTGAAATAGAAAGATAGACAGAGACAGATAGATAAGAATAGACTGAAATAGAAAGATAGACAGAGACAGATAGATAAGAATAGACTGAAATAGAAAGATAGACAGAGACAGATAGATAAGAATAGACTTAGATAGAAAGATAGACAGAGACAGATAGATAAGAATAGACTGAAATAGAAAGATAGACAGAGACAGATAGATAAGAATAGACTTAGATAGAAAGATAGACAGAGACAGATAGATAAGAATAGACTGAAATAGAAAGATAGACAGAGACAGATAGATAAGAATAGACTGAAATAGAAAGATAGACAGAGACAGATAGATAAGAATAGACTGAAATAGAAAGATAGACAGAGACAGATAGATAAGAAAGATAGAAAGATAGACAGAGACAGATAGATAAGAATAGACTGAAATAGAAAGATAGACAGAGACAGATAGATAAGAATAGACTGAAATAGAAAGATAGACAGAGACAGATAGATAAGAATAGACTGAAATAGAAAGATAGACAGAGACAGATAGATAAGAATAGACTGAAATAGGACAAAATTGACTGACAGATAAATAGATAGATATAACAAAATAAACTGAAATAAAATAGATTTAAATAGATAGATAGATAGATAGATAGATAGATAGATAGATAGATAGATATTTAACAGACTGAGATAGATAGATAGATATTTAACACACTGAGATAGATAGATAGATAGATAGATAGATAGATAGATAGAAAACAGAATAGATATGAAACAAGACAGACTCTGTAATCCTGCAGAGGATGTATAAAGAAAAAAGTATAATATATCAAATATTTATATATATGTATTTTTTTTATTGAAGAAACATCAAAACATATGAAATGACAGAACCTGTAGACAGTAACAGAGCCAATATATGGCCATTATAGTATGTAACCTGAGTACTGCTTGAAACTGTTTGTTGTACCACAGAAATCAAAAATTGTTGAGAAATGCTGAAAATTGTCATCCCATCTTATAATTTATTAATTAAAAACATAATGTGCTTGATGTGTATTGTTGTAAAGAAGGACTTTTTTTAATCATTTCACCCCATGTAAGCCAGTAAAGCCTCTAAGACACAAGGGGTTACTGAATATGAAAGGATAAGAAAAAATAGAAACACTATTAAGGAGCAGGAAAAATAGAAGAGTAATGAAGAAGACAGCAGATAGCGATTGACATTGCATTTAAATTTTTGAAGATCAGAGTTGGTGGAAAAGCATGGAGCTGGAAGAGAGTATCAACTATAATTACATCTGAATATATATATATATAATTACATCAATTGAGTACTGTTGAATGAAAAGCTAACTCTATAAGCAACAGCCACCTCTTCTAATGCAAAGCTCTTCAGTGAAATGAATGGAGCACTTTGGCTGAGTGGCATTTGTTTACATTCGTAAAAACAATATGCTAGATTTAGCTGCCTCATTCGGTCGAATGAAGATAGCTAAGTGGTAGAAACTCTGACTGACACCAGATCGGTTGGGTTTCAACCTGGGCTTGAAGCATGCAGATGTCTAGTTGCACTGAAGAGCTGTGATACAGCAAATCAGCACTGTCTGTGAATGACATATATTTTATATATATATATATATATATATATATATATATATATATATATATATATATATTTTTATGGTAGATGTAATTTATATTTGGTGGAAAAATTAGAAATATCAAGTTTAATAATCAAAACATTCTACTAAACGAAAGGAATGAATTGGTTTCCAATTGTCGTCATAAAAGTAAATTCCAACAGATATAATATTTTCTTAAACTTGCACTTTCATCATTCACTTATTTTCTATATGTGGATTTTTTCTATATGTGAAAATTTTTCTCTATATATGAAATTTTTTTCTATATGTGAAATTTTTTTCCTATATGTGAAATTTTTTTCTATATGTCATTTTTTTCTATATGTTCATTTTTCTATATGTTCATTTTTCTATATGTTCATTTTTCTATATGTGAAATATTTTCTATATGTGAAATTTTTCTATATGTGAAATTTTTTTCTCTATATATGAAATTTTTTTCTATATGTGAAATTTTTTTCCTATGTGTGAAATTTTTTCTATGTTCATTTTTTCCTATATGTGAAATTTTTTCTATATGTGAAATTTTTTCTCTATATGTTCATTTTTTTCTATATGTTCATTTTTCCTATATGTGAAATTTTTTTCTCTATATATGAAATTTTTTCTATATGTGAAATTTTTTTCCTATATGTGAAATTTTTTTCTATATGTCATTTTTTTCTATATGTTAATTTTTTCTATATGTGAAATTTTTTCTCTATATATGAAATTTTTTTCTATATGTGAAATTTTTTCCTATATGTGAAATTTTTTTCTATATGTAAAATTCTTCTCTATATGTGGACTTTTTCTATATATGTTTTCTTTTCCTGATTACTTCTTTTATTTAACTCTCTTCCGCTTGATTTCTTTATATATGATACTCTTATTTATGCTAGGTAAATGTAATCTCTTGTTTTCCTCTATTTTTCCTTTGTTTTAATGCTAGCAATATCTCATCAAATTTCTATTATATCTGTCATTTTCTCAATTGAGACATCGCCTTCTTTTCTGTTTATACTATTTTTAGAATTTTTTTAATTTTATTTTTATATTTTTTTCTATATATTATTATTTTATTTTTTCTTCTTTCTCTTTGTTCAAAATCTGATATGTTATGTGCTTTCAAGTATATCAATAAGTTAATTTTACTTTTATTTACCTGTTTAATGGCTTGCTGTTTTTTTGTGGGGGGGAGGTTGTCTTTAGTTATCTGCTATTGTAAAAGGAATCTTTATGTTTTTATCTATTTTAATTTATAAGTTAATCTATATTTAATATTAATCTGTTTAATCTATTATAATTTAATCTATAATTATTTTTTTAACATATATAATTCTATTTAATCCTTTATAATCTAATCAATGTTTAATATTAATCTATTTAATCTATTATAATTTAATCTATAATTATTTTTTAATATATATGATTCTATTTAATCCTTTATAATTTAATCTATATTTAATATTAATCTGTTTAATCTATTATAATTTAATCTATAATTATTTTTAATATATATAATTCTATTTAATCCTTTATAATTTAATCTATATTTAATATTAATCTGTTTAATCTATTATAATTTAACCTATAATTATTTTTACAAATATATAATTCTATTTAATCCTTTATAATTTAATCTATATTTAATATTAATCTGTTTAATCTATTATAATTTAACCTATAATAATTTTTACAAATATATAATTCTATTTAATCCTTTATAATTTAATCTATATTTAATATTAATCTGTTTGATCTATTATAATTTAATCTATAATTATTTTTTAACATATATGATTCTATTTAATCCTTTATATTTTAATCTATAATTAATCTATATAATCTTTTAAATTTAATCTTCAGTTTAATCTAGTTTTTACCTTTTATTAATCTATTTAATTTTCTTTATATTGTAAAATTTTCTTTTAGGCTATTACTTATCTATTTTAATTTCTTCCTTTATCTTATTTTTAACATTCAGGTTTTTCTTTTTTATATATTATGTCGTAATTTTTTTATTATAATATTAAATTCCTTTGTTTAATATTAAAATTAAATAATAGTTTTAATATTAAATTCTAATTTTTCTTTTCTCTACAATCTTTAAAACTTTTCCTTTTCTTTACTTTAATGATTTTATTTTCTTATGTAATTTTTTCCAATTTTAATTTTTTCCTATTTAAACAAGAGTTAACATATTAAATATAGGTCATTGTTAATCTTCAGCCATTTTAAACTTCAGTCTAGACTTGTATATGTCTCTGTCTTCCTATTCCCCCTCTCTACTTAGGTGTTTTTCTTTTTTTCCCCATCTCTCTCTTTTCCCTTATTTGTTGCTTGTTCCTCTGTTTTCCTCTATCTTTTTTTCTATCCTTTCTTAAATGTTTTAAAAAAAACGTTACGATTCATTTTTTTTATCAAACATTTTAGTATTGACAAGCTCTAGGGAATTTATCCTGGGGAGCAAAATGGCCATAAAAAATGGGGTACAATTGAGTTTTATTTTTATATCATTCATTTCTATGCTCTATGATGAATATATTGAGCTCTCTTTTGTGGATAAGTTTTAATATTTTATATTAATAGGATTCACTTACCCATGGATTTTACATATATATATATATATATATATATATATATATATATATATTAAGACATTTTTATGTTTATACATTCTTTTTATATATACAAATATTTAAGTAACAAACAGTATTAACAACATTTACTGGCAGATGTCTTAAAATAATTGTCGGACTTTGTTCATTTCATAATGTGTGATGTCATTTGTTTACATTTTGAAATGCATCAAGCAGATATGAATGTATGTGAGAAAATCATTGAAAATTGTAGTTTAAAAACAGTAAAATCGACCTTGCTAACTGAACACTCCTCTGTGGCGAAATCAGTAAAAGCATGTCGGGCTATATGACGGTTCCATATAGAATACAGGTTCGATTCCTGTTGGAGGACACATATTTTCTATGAAAATTTCTCGGACATTCTGGCCGGTAAATGTTGTTAATACTGTTTATTATGAACAGAATATTTCCTAAATATTTGTATCTATAAAAAAGAATGTATAAACATAAAAATGTTCTAAAATAATTGTTGAACTTTGTCCATTTCATAATATATATATATATATATATATATATATATTTTTTTTTTTTGAATAAAAACAGATCACTTTAAGGTTCCATGTAATAAGTTATTTCACCACAACACTTTTAAAGGGCTCTGGATCATCAGACTTTACTTCCAAAAGTTGAAATGAAAAATGAAAAGAAACTTACACATTTTTGACGGACCGCACCAAGTGTATGTGAAATTAACGAAGTGAGGTGGGAGAGAAGATATGAGTGAGTTAGATGTACCATTTTCCTTATCCTTAACCCCACTCTGTGTAGGCTAGACGCCGCTTAACTTAACGTATGCTATCTCGATATAGATGGGTAAGGGGTGAGGGAGAAGACCGACTTAAAGGGGGAAGATACAGTTAACAATCATATAATAAATCATGTCCCTGAGATCAGGATTCACCAAATTTTAGATGCTGTTATTTCGCATTACTTTAAAAGGGTATCTTTGGGGTTAGAGTTTGATATAAATATATATATATATATATATATATATATATATATATATATATATATATATATATATATATATATATAACCACCATAAAAAGACAAAACTTATCTTTATTGCCACTCATGATGATAATAGATAAAAAGTAAAACTGAAAAGTGGGCTAGGTAACCGGTATAGCACATTCTTACACAGTTATTCCTGTTTCACTTAGTGAACCAAAGTGGAACAGGGAACAATATCAGGTTTCGATCCTAGCTAGAGGCAAACAGATGTCTAGCCACACTGATGAGCTGTGATACAGTGAAACAGTCTATCTGTGGATGACAATATATATGCTCTTGAAAATTATCAGGTAATCAAAGCACTTCATAATAATAAATCTTTGGTGATTACAAAACCTGACAAAGGCTTTGGTATTATCATTCTTGATTATCAAGATTATGTTAACAAGATGATGACTATTCTTGGGGATTCCTCTAAATTTGTCTAGTTAGGACCAATAGATGAATTTGATTCCACATTATCTACTGAGGCTAACTTCCAAAAACGTCTAGTTAAGTGGGTTAAAAGTGGGAAATTTCTAATTTAATCAGACCCTTGCGTTCCATTCGTCCCCGTCTCTATGGTTTACCCAAAACTCATAAGGTTGGGATTCCAGTGTGACCTATTCTGTCCATGGTAGGGTCTTCCCAACATAGCATGGTTAAATGGCTTTCCACCATATTACAGCCAGTTTTGGAACAGGAGAAATCTGCTTGTGCTAAACATTTGTTTGAATTCTCTGATTTTA